CCGAAGCAATTTTGGATAGAGGTAAGTTGGGTTAAATCGTCATATTTTGATACCAAGAACCCCTGGTAGCGCGTTGTACAGACCTTTTAGGGACACCCTGTATATACATTTTAAAGACAAGAACGCATTTTGAACCATTTTGTTCACGTGAGCTCTAAACCGAAGTTGATTATCAAGTGTTAGTCCCAAATTATTTACTGTTTCAGTATCAGGTATTAAAATATTATTTACATACACACCACAATTAGTTTTCATATATTCAATATCAGTTTTCTTACCAAAAAATATACAGCAACATTTACTAGGATTAAGTACAAGATTAAAATCGTTAGAACGCTGATTTATTCTGAGTAAGTCCTGGTTTAAATTATTTAACGCAGTAGATGCATTAACCTTGTCAAAAGAAGAGTATAATTGTATGTCATCAGCGTATACCACAATATTGCAACTTGAAACGCATCTAAGGATATCCGAAGTATAAATAATAAATAATAAGGGTCCAAGTAATCTTTTTATATACTCATATGTAGTAACCTTAGTGTAAAGATATGGTAGAAGATATACGTTTTCAACTTAGATTTCCTATGCTATATTCAAAGGTTTCCGATATTAGTAAATCATCACAAAATGTTAGGAGAAAGTTGAAATACCATAAATGAGTTACTTTTGTAATTGTCACCTAATGAGTGTATGGAATCTGGTTTTATTGTAGGAAGATGACGTCATTTGCATAAATGCAACTGGTAGCTTATACCTGGTGAACTTGTCGAATTGCACGATTGGTTGCCTATATAATTATTTACGTAGGCGCAGCTCAAATTTTGAACGGCCTGTCCCTATTGACTTCAGTTGACGTACCCACAGATTAAATACAATCTGTGACGTACCTAAAGGTTTTAGATTTTTTTGGAATGGGCCCTATTGATTGTTTTTTAAAGAAATCATTTACCTTTACGTAACTTCCAATATCTGAAATCATCTCCGCACTTTGATCAACGCGCGGAATAATCCTTGTCTTTGGAAAAGTACGAGTATATCCAAAGGGTATCTAAATTAAATTTTAAAAAATTGCTGTTGCTGTGGCTAGCACAGATACCACCCACACGCATACCTGCGTATGCGCGATTCTGCCCTTTTAAGTCTAAGAATATGTGTACCATATACAATGTGTGTACCAAATTTGGTTCCCATGGTTCCGCCGTTTAGCCGGAAATGAGAGTTCAGACCGACAGATCGACATAATCGAGATTTTGTTGGATTCGGATTTTTGGTGCTTCAAAACGTGTATTTCGGTCAAAAAAGTAGGGGGTCATTTTTTACCCAACTGCCATACCTCTCAATTGCCAACTGTATTGAAGTTTGGAAGTGAGCAATTGTTTTATATCTTTTGCGAACCTCGTCGAGGTCGGCAAAGTACTTCCCAACTTGAACGCCAATACCGACTAGATTTCAATATGTTACGCTGACACTGGTGGAATTTGTTATACTACCTATTTAAGACAGATTGTGTTGTGAATAAAATAGTATACAAGCCTCGATTGTCAGTGGTTCACAACCAACGCCTCGCGCTTATACCTCACGCGCGTCGGTGATGTAGCTTAAGGGTGGACTGGCTGGACAGTACATACAGAACGGAGCGTTCCGCTCGAAAAAGCACTCGCGAGCGGAAAAAGTGCTCGCGAGCGGACCGCATGGTGCTCGATAGTCGAGCGTTTACTTAAAGTGCTCGGCGCTCGAGCGCTTTTTTCTGCCCACGAGTGGTTTTTCCGCTCGCACGCTCTTTTTCCGCTGCCTAGCGCTTTTTCCGCTGCTGAGCGTTTTTGTTCGCTCGTGAGCGCTTCTAACCATCCTCAAGCCTGAAGGATTAAGCGCCGTTCGCGAGCGTTTCTTCCGATCCCGAGCGCTTTTTCCACTCTTGTGCGTTTTTTCCGCTCGAGCACTTTTCGGAGTGCTCGGAGTATGTAAGTTGCCTATTGTCAATCGCCAAATTTGGCCATTTACATTGAATGCCATTTATAATATTAATTTGTGATTGATGGCAGAAACATAAACTTAAACCAATTATAATGCACATTTTCTATTTGTATAAATCAAGCGGAGTGGCGGAAGCTATTTTTTCGCGCTTTTGAGGAAAACTTCTGAGTTGTTTTTCCAAGATAACTTTATCTATAAAGTGAAGGTTTGTAGGGTGAGTAGGGTCAAAAAACCAGACTTCGTTTAGTTTATTTTTAATTGGTAATCCAATAATAAAATAAACTAAACGAAGTCTGGTTTTTTGAGCCTACTCACCCTACAAACCTTTTCTTCAACACCACGCAAGGCCGAAAGAAAAGAACCTTTTTAATTTATCTATAAACAAAGACTATCCTCCTTTAAGCAGGCCTTCCACGTGCATTCATTTCATCGAACTTTGAATTAACGCCATGTCTTCGAACTTGGAACAGAATGTTGAAACACCACTTCCACGTTCGCACATGGTTCGCACAAACTTGGCGAACAAATACAGGTACGACTGTGCACGCAAGAACAACGATATGCGTTTTCGGTTCCTCATATACTACAGTGCGTAAATCTATCTCACTTTAGTCTAAACTCCAGGAGCGACAACCACATCCACGCGCGCGCCCAGCATCGCTCCGCGCCAAGAATGTAGGATTAGCAGAACTCTTCGCTCCGCACCAAGAATGATGCAAACTTTGCGCGATGACCACTTCCACGTTCGAACTTGGTCTGGTTGTAGGAGTGTACACTCCAAGTTCGATGAAATGTATGCACGTGGAAGGCCTGCTTTACATTTTAGTAAACCCCGGCGTTATTGTCTAGCTAAAGCCTTCACCTTTCACAGGAATATTCGACCCCTTCTTCATCTTCACTCAGAATTCAGATATCGTGGAACGAAATCAAGCGTTTTCAGACAACGGAACAGATGTACTGACCAGCCTTAAGCCCTCGGCGTAGGTAATGAACCACTTCCCAGCTTGGTATGTAATCTACTATTTCTGCACGCCTTTTTGGGGCACCCTATATACCTACAAAATCTGCACAATCCAAAAACAAAATCGACGGTTCCAAGGATATTTACAAATACGCCTTTATTTCATTTTTATTGAATTTATCTGTCATTAAATCAGAACCCTGGGGGTCGATTTTTGAAACCAGTCGCATCTATTCGTATACGCTTAGATGCGAAGACTTAAAAACGTATACGTTTTCCAAATGCAATTTTTGACAACGTCACCTTTATTGATTGATTAGAACTAAAGCGGACGTAGGCCTAAAAGGTGGGTTCATAGCTCTCCGTTCATCCGTTGCGTTGATCCGTCAAACGGATAGTACATTTTATTAAGGTTCATAGCAATCCGTCCACATTGTACATTTGCAAGTATAACCATAACCTATACTTTATTTTGTACTGTACCCTCCGTCATTTTCAGTATGTAAAAATGGTACGAAAGTAAGAACACATTGCTATCTGGTTATTACCGTGAAGAACGGACAGGCGAACGCTGTTAACGTACCAAACATAACCTCACTCTTGTTAAAAACGGACCAACGGAAACGTAAATGTTCAACTTCAACCAACATTTCCGTCGTAAACGGACGACGTATGATTTAAAAATTTGCTGTCTTCTGATTGGCTAACGGGCAAACGGAAACGTATGAACGGAGAGCTATGAACTTACCTTTAAGTGAAGCGGACTATTTGACGTTTGGGTTTGAGCTTAGGTCGTGAGGTGACGATATTGCTCAGTCATTTCAAATTAAAGAATAATAATATTTTAGGCACTGATTAGCATGAATACTCAAAACACGATGGACACGCCAAAGCGAGGATGCAATACCACGCAAAACCAAAAGAGGTGGCTTGTAGAGTTTGCACAAAACCACCCCGATATAATAGCAGGGAAACAAACTACAACTTTGACGTGCAAGAAAATGCACAACTCATGGAAAGAAGTAGCTGATACATTTTAATAAATTGTGCTTCATTTAAAACTTCTATGGGGTTGCAAGGTTTACGGTTCCTATTCGGGCGATAATTGCGTTCGGCATTCTCTAAATTGTCTATTACAAACACATTCACAGCTTCATCCATTGTTATTAGTAGATACCTTTCAAGTCTCAAGAGTCAAAACTTCAACACTAACCAATACATAACCCACAAAACGTCAGTTGCGAGCGCCCTTTACCCGCTCGCATACGTTTTAAGGAAACGTACGGCCAAAAATCGATCCCCTGTATGTATGTATACCGCCTTAGACCATATAGTACATGTATATTTTACCAATCTTCAGACTGTATGTACCTACTTTATCAATTATAATATAATAAAATTAGTCAATGCAACGTAAGGGAAAAAAATGGGCCCCAAAAATTCTCATTCCTTAGAGCCTCTGGATATACATGGTCGTTGCTATAGTTGATTGCGAGTAGCTAATAAATTATGATAAAATTAAACTGTTCTTTTTAAAATACAGTTAATTACAACAGGTTGCTCAGTCAATATAAACTCTCAATATAAAATTAAAAAATAATTAGCTTAAATGACATTCTAGGAATTACTTTCTCCCCATAAATTAATTATTCAATGTAGTTTCCCCTCGGTCCCCTGCAATACCAGAGACTGAAAAATGCGTCTTACTTTACCTTTCCTTTTTTACAGAACCACACACCAGGAGAACATGGTCGTCTGTTCACCATCTTTTAAAATCCAAGTCTCTTACCTTGATTGGTGCAGACCTAAGGTACTAGATAGTAAAACTCCTGTTCCTTACCATTTCTTTTATTGAACTAATTGCAATATGAGAAGAAGATACTTACAAGTTACTGAAAACTGACAAGAACAGTCAATAAATATTTTAACTTTATTGCACAAATTTTAAATAAAAACCATTGTAAGCCTTTACCAAAATTCATAAACAAAACAGGTTAGGTACGTAATGTATACATTAAAAACACATTAACCAAAGAAAGGAAAGAAAAATTATAAATGCAGCATAAAGTTTTCAACAAATTTATTAAACAAAAGGAAGAAAAAGCGTTTATTTTTCAAATTTACGAAAACATACATAAAAAATTGTGCTGTTACGTAACCAAATTAAATTTTAAATCAGACTTTCCCTTCCCCGCTCTCAGCAAAAAATAACAATGATAATATTTAATCACTGTAATCCCTATTTATATATTATAAATATAAATAACCATATAGTTTGCACATCAAAAATTATAAAATATCGAAATTTCTTTGCACTGTCAAATAATAAAAGCAAGATTAGCTAACTTTACAAGAATTATTTTAATAACTAACATTATATATATTTTACAGTGGCGCAGTAAACAAATCACATGTGGGAATTTCTAGAATGCATCGCCGTGATTGACATTTCAGTTGCCATTACAATGATGATTGGTTTACGTAGACTGTAATTTTTTTTTTTTTCATATAGAACTTTCATATAATCACCTCCACTACAATCGCACATATAATTAATAAATTTCATTGTATCCTGTACAAATAAAGCTAAAAATATAAATTCATTTTAAATAGAGAAATGCAGTCCATTTTCACATTTAGTGCAAATATTTAGCCGCTGCGTTAAAAAAAAAAGCTAATCTACAGTGAGTTGGTGGCAGTCTCGATGGAGTAGCTCTTAACCAGTTATGTAAAAAGGAGGCAGTGTCTGAAAAAAGAAATATGAGTAGTTTTTTATCGTTATTGATTAGTTTATAGAAAAATTATATAATTGCGAAATGAGTTATGAATTTGAAACATGTTTAGGATCTTTACATTTGTTACATTACAATACAGCGATTAATTTTGTCACTGTTCGCATTATGTTCAATATAAGTACAATGAGTTCAAAGTGAAGTCGACACTATTGCTAACTTTGTTATAATGTTATTATACATCTACAGGGTGGTGTTTTTAAGTGGAACATTAGAAGTATCTTAGTAAATGGTTCAGTAAATTAGCAGTATCACTCTTGTCTGAAAACTTAGCAAAATGTTTTTTACGATTGGACAGCTAAAAGTCCACGCTATCAATTAATGTTATTGGTCTGATTTTCAATTGTGATTCGAAAATAATACGAATAAGCGTTCAAAGTTGATAATTGGTTTTTGGGCAAAAACTGGAAATTTTCAAATGGGAACAATATCTTCACTATGTATCAATGAAAAGAGCATAAAAAACGGACAATTGCTCTTTCCATTGATGCATAGTAAAGACATGGTTTTCATTTGAAAAATGCTACAAAAAACTACTTTTGGCATAGAAGACATATATGCCTATATAAACAAGACAAAGAAAGTAGTTTGAAAAGGAGCAGATCAAAATAGGAGATCTAGTGTGAAGAGGTTTTCATCGAAAATCATGTGACGAGTAAGATGTACTGTGATACAGCGGTGAACATATGTATGAGGTAATAGATTCCATTCAATGAGTAGAGAGTTACGTATACAATCAAAAGTATAGTTAAAGTCGCTGTTAGAAGTAACGTGAAATTTCTAACCTAACCTTACTTTTTATGTAAATAAGTAAAAGGATGCATTATAGACATTTCATTGTAATTGTATTAAAACAGCGTTGTAATGGAGGGCATTTTTTGGATTTGATAGACAATGACGATATTGACGACATAATGGTAATATAACGTTTGATTACATACATAGCTAACCCTACATTAATGTTTATATTTTTACAAATTTGCCGCTTTCAGTGTTCGGGTATACTAAGCAGTAACGAAGCATGAAACACAATTTCGGTTGAATACGTTAGCGTTTTTAGAATATGTAAGTTAATGTTACGATACAACACCCGTATCCCTAAATGTTAACCAAGATTTTAAAAAAAATTTCTACGTTTACGTATTGGTATTTGCTATATCTCCCTAGTGTGATGGTTGGTGACCTATTTATTTGTGAACACTAAGCAAAATCCCATTTATACACATTGTACAACTAATAACACTGTCTAATTAACGGCATTTATATAGCTGCTATTGTTTCAGAGTTTAACTTTAAAAAATGGTGTTACAACTAGAAAAAAGAAATACTTTCATTCCAATTTTAAAAGAGGTTGTTACTTTTGTAACTGAAAGCAGACATTAAACATCAACATTAGCAAAAATCTGCTATATTGTAAAATGACTAAAGTTTGAGTTCCTTTGTTTTATCTGTCTTACAATCGAACTGAGTTTCTCGTGTGGCAATTTATTACTGTTTATACAATATTACTTTTCAAGTTATTCAAATCAATAATATATTAATATACTATGACTACAGACTCTAATGTTAATCAGATTCCTCAACAATTTATGTTTTTTGTAATATATTACCCAGGCTGCAGTTGAATTATCAAAGGTCTTGACTTTTGTCTTTGACTAGACAATATTGATAAGGTGAAGTAGAGACAAAGAAATTACCTATGCAGAATCACGAATTTTCTTTTCTTTTTTTTTCTTAAGGAAGGATGGAGTTCGTAAGCCTTTCTTCTTTTTCTTGTCCTTTTTAGGCGATCCCTCCGATACCGATTGGTCCTTTGAAAATGAACCCTACAAGTAACACAAATGTTTCTTATTCATACAAAAACATTAAATCAAATCATTACCTCTTTACTACTCTGCGAAATTGTGCTTAGATGTGCATCGGACTGGTCACCATTCACTGTGTTTTCGCCTAAAAAAATAGTAAATTAGTCTCCGACTATACAACAAGAAAGTGTCAATTGCAAGTCAACAAAGCAAAAAAAAATATAAAGCGCATGCATTTTATTAAGAGAATAAATTAGAAAAATTGTGTACAGGTACCTTTAGTGCGGACTATTAAGACTCTCACCAGAAGCAATTCATTGTTAAATGTGAAATGCGTGTGTTTTTTTATTATCAAGGTACAATATACAAAATGAAGTGAATACATTACATAATGATCTTCAAATGAAAAAATTGTAACTTAAATACAAAATACAATGTACCTAAAATAAAAAAATATAAAAATGACAAATATAAAAGGTTGTGATGTAGACATAGCAGCTATCTGTTTCCTTTTTAAATTATATAACCACTTCAAATGAACTCAAGAAATAAAGCTGGTGGTCATATTTAATTTTAAATATCACTTAGTTACAATACTAAAACTTGGCAGCCTCATAACCCATCCAGTTACCATCATCACTTGTCTCACTGTCATTACGAAGTTTTGAGCAATCATCAACTTTTTTCGTACTAGTTGGGAATACATCATCACGCACAAATGTCACAGTAGACGGTTGTGTATAGGAAAATGAGTTAACAGTATTAGTTCTATAAAACGAAACGGAATTACAAACGATTGCATTTGTTTCTGGACACTCGAATGATATATATGTCGATTCCGTGTCATAGGTATTGTTTAATAAGTTTCTTATTTGCACATCTTCCTCTTCTTCTACCTCGCCTCTGTCCTCATCTTCATCAGACTCAGTAAAGTTAGAAAATAAATTACATACAGCTTCTTCAGGAATAGGAGACAAAGCTCCAGAAGAAACACTAGAGTGATTGTATTGCGCAAGGTCAGGTGGAGGTTTCAATGGGATATCATCGACATTAATAACTTCGTGTTTTCTTGCGACAGGTTTACCCGAATCTGGGGATTTTGTAATGGCGATCCAGTATTTTTCATTTCTTAAATTTTTAGTTTCCTTAGCCTTAAAACTGATAACAATTTCATCATCAGAACTTGGACTTTCAGTCTCCACTCCACTCCTTTGAGACGAGTCAGATTGAGGTGTTGATTGTTGCACCAACCTGTTGTCTTGAACGTCCTTTGTAAATTTTGAGAAATCTGTTGAATCACTGGGACATTTTGTAGTAGATAGGTCTTGGTCCACGTATTTTACAAAGAAGTAATCTAAAATATTGGACACTAATTCAGAAATTGCAAAAATTTTATCAGATACGTTGGAAGACAGTGGCGATTCTTCACAAATTTCAAACTTCCCCATCACTCTTTTTGTTATATTTAAACGAAGGAGATTTTTATCTTCGTCTGAAACGATATTACCACACAAGTCTGTATAATAAGATTCTAGGACGCTATATAATTTTAGGATGTTATCATCATAGAGCAACTCTGGGAAAAAAATATGCTCAGACACTTCAAAGCACTGTCTAATAAGATATCCATATATTGCATCTGACATTAATATCACTTGTTCGTCTGTATTTTCAAGGCGATGGCACTCTGGTGTACATAAACTGTCTACATTAACAGTTTCATCCACAACATTCTTGTTACAATCTACATAATTTAAGGTTTCATTGTCTGGAGGCTCATTGGCAAGTGCATCACTTCTAGCAGAAACCCAAGATTCAATACTTTCACTTTCCATCACTCCATCACTGTATGTTGGAAAATCCCTTGACATTATCAAAGCATCATGTATGGCATCTTCCAATGTGGTTAAATCCTTATCCATAATCTTAGCCTTTTCAATAACATCTTTGGCCAAAGCTTGAACATCTAAATTTGAGTCGAACATATTTGTGTCTGCTTGTTCAAGACTATCAGATTCTGACACTTGACTTAATGACTCATCCAGTAAATTGTCCTGCAAACTTTTCATTATTTTGGTTTCATATTCCTGGTCACTAGATTCTTTCGAAACCAGCATATTATTTTTAACACACAGTTCCGTTATATTGAAAAGGGAAGTCTTCTTTTTACTAGAGACATCCACAGCAGCAGATGTTATGAATGAGGTTTGAGAGCTGGCAGTGCACGATGCTTGTGTATTCATCAAATTCATGGCATTGGCAAAAGGATATATAAATTCTTTGATTGTTTGAATTGGAATGTCGAGTGTTACGCATTTTGCATTTCCAATATTAATGGTCACTGTGGAATTGTGTTTATTCTGAGATAGCTTATGATGTGTGAAGCTCTTCACTTGGTGACGATAGCCAAGTCTGACTAAAGCGGGGCGTAAGCGAGTAGCAATTTCGCCAAAGCGTGCAATGTGGTAATGTACTGGATTCGGTATTGCATATGAACCTTTCGGAAAGCCAGCATGACTGTGAGTTCGATACAATTCATGGGATTTTGATGATGTACTTGTATAAGCGTCTTTTATTCTTAAACCTGAAAATAAGGACCTTATTTATTTATCAACTAATATAAATTTAATCGCATTTCCTTTGATTTCTGAAATATATGTCAATTGTAATCCTACTTCTGACATATAATACCAGATGATCTATACAAAGTTACAAATTATAGTGAAAAGCAGAGCTCTGGCAGCAAAATTAGATATATATGAAAGTATATAGATCACCTGTTGTAACAAAACGAATGGAAGATAAAGATGGTGGAAACGACAATACTGTGTGATTTTGTTGCATATATAACTACAATTGGCGCAATGCAGGTAAGTAAGATTAGCAACGTTTTGTGTGATAATTAATCAATAAATCATTAATTGCAAATCAATGTTTGTTGAACAACTATGAATGCATATTTAACTGAGTATGTTAAACACAAAAAGCAAACTATAATGATCCTGATGATTTTGTCATTTCACAATATGGCAGAAACAGGGACCCGGACCGGACCGAAAAAGAACCGAAAACCGGACCGAAACCGTTATTTTTTTCTGGACCGAAAACCGAACCAAAACCGTTATTCCTTCAGAAATGGAAACGTATTGAGAACCGGAGCCTATATTACTTTTTTCGGTTCTTTTCGTTTTTTACGGATCTTAACAGGTTATTGGAAGTTGAAGGACGCGCCGGCAACCACGTCCTGAAAATTGATAAAATATTAGTCTATGATTGCCATCGGTGGATTATAAATTTTTAATAAGGTGTCGAAATTGAAGGCATTACGAGTGGTGGTGGCGCTAATTTAGCCACTAAATAAAAAAGGAGAGGCGGGTTTTAGAAAATAAAATTTTCTTTTAGTAATAAAGTGTAAATACACATTTCCCTCTTCCTCCTTTATTCCCCTTGTCGTTATAAATTATACGTCACGTTTTGGTATTCATGGCTTTTTCTTCACACCTATTAATTAACAAATCACGTTGTTATAATGAATTTTTTTAATGCCATACTTTCTAAAAGACTAGAACCGCAAATAACCGTTATGGACCGAAAAAAATGCGCAGAACCGAACCGTTATTTGCTTTTAGAACCGAAACCGGACCGGAACCGTTATAAATATTTTCGCTTAAATATAAACAGAACCGGAACCGATATTTCATTTTGGTCCGGGTCCCTGGGCAGAAACTGACTAAACTCAAAAACAAATCAATCAAATCATCAGTATCTCTTGTATTTTAATAGTTGTCAGTTCACACCCCAACCTTTCACACTTACTTTTATTACTATCCACGGATATTCTTTCTGTCTTTCGTTGTTGTAAAGGTGTATCATCAGCTAAAATCATGCAATATGTTACATGCTAAAGTGTATAAGCAAAGAAAGAAAGAAAATAGTTCCTAATTTATTCATATACACAACAGTAACTAAGAATTAAAAAAGAAATGTAGTCCTTTATGTCCTGGTGGTGCTAGCATGTTGAAACTACACCTTGTGAAAAATTTGATTCCATTTTGTAGTTAATTATGAACCAGTAACATTTGGGTTTAGCACATTGGTTTAACGCTCCACATGCACCTACGTTGGCAGTTGTAATTAGTCCCACTTTCATGTCGTGTATGTAAGTAATAAGGTTGAAAACTACATATCTGCCTTACTTATTTGCACAACTGAGTTGCGCCTTCTGTTCCATTTATAAATTCTCTAGTCACTAGATATAGAAAGTACCGCAATCATCCGCCATTTTTGGGCAAATTTGCTGCCAACTTTAAAAAATTGACAAATAAAATCTGAATAGCTGTAATTTTTTATAACCTCACTTCATAGTACTGTCATGTTTTATAAAAATTTATACAGATATCTCCAAACAGGTGGAACAATCCCTAACATTAAAGTTACTAGAATCTGGTAACTTCCGCCATTTTTGGGCAAAAATCATGCGTTCTCTCTCTAAAATACTAGCCCAAAGGATTGCGGTACTTTCTATATTTAGTGACTTTAAAATTCTCTACTGATTTGTACCCTCTATGGAGAGATAGGCAAAGCTCCAGTTTCAGGCTTTTTATTATAAGGGCGGTTTAACATAATAGAAAATTGTGGTATGGATTTTGTAAGGCACCTTCATTGAACAATTGTTGATACTTTGCTTAATTACATTGTTGAGGTTCATTAATGGTTTGAGGTTAAATTGAATGAGTTAGCAAACATGGTAGAAATCATTTGAACTGTAATGCAATCGTGTTCTATCAACTGTATCTCGTTAGATAGTTCAAAGGATATTTTACTAGTGAACAGTCTTTGGTTTATCATTGAACATTTAATATTTCGAAACAGAGAGTCACAGCGCGACAGAATCACACAACTCTAGAAACTTGGCGAGTGAAACAAGAGATTTCAAATGATGGATCACGTTCCATATACGGTCAATTAATACGATATTTCTTTTAATCAGTTTCCCAGAAAAAATTCAAAACTAATTACACAGTAGAATGTTGTCAATCCTTAGCATTATACTTTTGGTTTATGTTTTCTATGCACAAAATGAAATGTTGCATTAATACGCCGGAGGATCATTTCAACTCGAGAATAGCAATAACCTGGACACAAAGGACTACATATCAAGTTCAGACAACCAATATACATGCACACTCCTTGCTCCAAAACTTGAACTTTTAATTAAGTTGATTACATGCTGAAAGTTTGCATAACACAAATGTACATGCTGTTAAAAAAGATAGTTGCAAAATATGTTAAATATGCATATAACCTTAACTAACACGAATGTTTGTATTAAAAAATTCAACTCTCACGAAAAATTTTAAGTAATGAACAATGGTCTATGGTGCATTTCTATTGAAATGTTAATGAACCTTCTCCAGTGATGAACACTTACCCACTGTCCATCACTGTAGTTTTTCATACTCTTGTAAAAAGCGTTAATTGTAAATTATTTCACACAACACAAGCACTTAAAGGCCAAACTTATCATAATTTTTTATTTTTAACTTACCATCGCTAAGAACAAGTTCGGGATGAGTTCGTGTGGGTACTTGTTTAGTTTCTATCCGTAATACTTGAGGTTCTAGGAAAATACAAGATTATCGAAGTTTAAGTTTCTTTAAGTTTCTATACCATCTTTGCTTTCCTCCTCTGTCTCGCTGGTTACTGATGTCGGAGATCGAATGTTACTGCTATCAATTCTCTTATTAATATTTGCTGATGATAATCCTTCAGATTCACTAAAGTCTGTATCATCTGTTTACAACGACTATCAGTTTAAGCTCACAGTTTCCACACTAATACTTACATTCGCCTTTTGATTTCTTCTCGATTACTTTTTTGTACTCATCTAGTTCTTCGTCGGTTACGGAGTCAAATGGATTTTTCGCATAAGGAGATTTATACATCATGGCATTGTGTTGGAAACCACGTTGAATGATTCCCTTCGAAGCTGCTCCCATTAAAACGACCTGGTCACCAGTCTGAGTGACACCAGCATCTTGCATCTTTTTCGCTTCCTCCCATGTCACACCTTCTAGGATGTGAGACTGAGGACCTGCCGAGATTTTATCTGCTCGTCGATAGTCTTTTATCTTGAATGGATTTCAAATAAATAATTAAAATTTTATACAATGTAGAGGAGGGGGGATACTACCGTTGATATCAGTGAGGCCTTTCAAATAGGTTAGATAACAAAAATTGATATTTGGTGTATTTACATCATTCAAATAGCGAAGTCAATAAAAATGTATTCTAGCTTCATGATAATGACAATAACTTCATTAACAATGTTGCTAAAAACTTCCAGCACATGCATCTTTCATGCAGAATTTACTTTTTTTAGAAATGGCTATTATTTAAAAATTCGTTAAGCACTTTCAAATTTGTTTTATGGACATTTCATGCCTTAACGAGAATACGAACATGAAATAATTTTTAATTTCTGATCGAATGACACCAATACCAAGTCTGTAAGTGGTGTAGTTCCGGAGCCTTTGTGACAGACAGACATATAAGGAACGCAAAAGTGCACTTTTTATTTTTTTAAATGAAAGTGCACTAAAAAAAGCTTACTTTGTGCAATGTTATTTGACCACCCCAAACCATGAAAAAATGCTTGCATATTGTATACCTACAGTAGTGTATTGCGATTTGGCTGTACTTCGCGTCGTGCCCTTAAACTCGTTGCACGTGCTTTAAAGACTTGATTATACACTTGTCTCTTAATATACTACTCTTGAGACCACATGGATTTTGATCAAAACATGTCAAAATCCTTATTCATGCACCAAAATCATTGGGAACAAGATTAAGAACATTATCTCAATGCCCAAGACATGAATTTATTTTGTGAGATTAAAGGTGGATCCTTTGATATTTCATTTTATCGGTGTATTATATTTGGTTTGATCTTCCTATTGTTTTTCTGGTTCTGTTATAGTACTTTTATTATACTTATTTAATACTATTTTTGGTAGTGTGGAATATGCTAATTTCCTTATATATTTATTTATTATCCCTCTTTTGTTCTGGGCCCTCAACAAGCTTGCGCCCAATTACAAACTGACCTAAATAATGCTTTTTAGAGGTGCCCCTGCAGAAGGTCTTAAGTTGTTCTATACTACTTGGACATTTACAATATGAATTAGGAAAACTGCAGGAAAACCTAATTCGGAGTAGCCGGCAGAATGCTCGAAACTGCTCTAAGGAAATTCTCTAGGAAATTCCAATATCTGTCACAGATGAAAAATTCTTACCGTAGCCCAGGTTTCGAACACCCGACCTCCAGCTATGTAGCCCAACGCTCTACCACTGAGCTGAACCACATAGTCGGTGAAAGTGAAAAAAATTCACTCTATACTGCATTCATTATAAGAAGGTAGTAGATGGCGCTGTGTTTGAAGATAAACACACACAGGAAAAATATAAAACGGCACCAAATTATTGTAAAGTAGAAATATTCAGCACTGCGAACAGAAATAAATTTTTCACAATAACAACTAATGACACTTCGGCAGTTTAGTTGGCAACATAAACTACCAACTTGCAAAATTCACCAGTCGTTTTATGTTTCATTGTAATATTGTAATACTGACTCGTGTTTTAACCAATCACAGTGAAGGTCAAAGCTTCCCTATGCTTTTCACCGCTACCTTCTTAAAATGAATACAGTATATATATGTATTTAAATTTTAGTTGATTCCACTTATTAAAGTGAACTAATAAAACATGCTTTATTTGATGTGTTTTAGCGCATTTTCTAACGAAGTTTGGTGCGCTATTGCAGCCACTTTCTCTGTTCGTCCGTCTGTCCGAGGCCTTAACTAGTCCTACAATTTTCAAGATATTAAGTTCGTTCTTTTTGCATTCGGTAGCGTATAGCTCTAGCACCTGAACCAAGGAAAATCTTGACAATTAAACTGCGCAATGTCGACTTCCTTATTTATTAATATATTTTGTTGAAATTTTAACCACAGATATTTTTGGTGATGGCAAACATATCGCATATAGTAAAACTCTCTAAAGTTCAACCATAAATGCTTCTAGTAAAGACAAACATAACGCATGCACCTATGACCTTTTGGCAAGTACTCTGCAATGCATGGAAAACTGGCCTATAAGTTACTAAGCCGCCTTTTTTTTATTTTTCATATCGTGCTACATAACATAACGGCGTTGTGCGCGGATGCATCCTTTTGAAAACAATTTTCAACTTGTTTTTTTTTTAGTGTGGACATCATTGTATTCGTAATAATTTAACAAAAAATGCATCTCAATACAGTACGTACTTTTTCTAAGAGGCATATAAAAAAATAAAGGTGATGATTTCTCTGAAACAAAACGTATTGAAAATCTCTCAACAGTATCTGGTAGAGGTCAAAGGGTGGCAATGAGAAAGTGGATTTTATTTTTTTGTACCTGTTCAAATGGCATCAGAAAAAAAAGATCCACAAATTTTAGAACATATCTTCGGAAGTAATCGAAATTTTCTGGTTTTATTAACAGCATGATAATTACTAATTAATTGCGCAACTTCTCTCTAATTCATATCTCCCATGGTTTCTGAGATCCACATGATAGACATCTTTATCTTGCACACAGGGTATAACACGATCTTTAAGCAAAGAATTTTGCTTAGGTAATTGCACGAGAAGAATACCACACTGGATTATTTGAATCCCCACTGCTGTCCAAATGTACTGTTTTACATGACATATTTGGGTAGCAACTATCTGCTAGAATATCATGTGTGCACGTCACATTTATAGCGTATAGATCTATGTCACTTTACATTATTTTATAGTCAATATGACTTATCGCTTCTCCTTATTCTGAGATGAACTTTGAACATGATTTTTAAAACTCTGTACACTGTTCCTTAAGCTTCAGCAGAATTAATTTAGTAGTGGCCTGTTTCAATCATTATTTGCTTATAATGAACATCTATAGATTCTTATAATCAATTCTACTAGTAATGCGCTATCCATTAGTTTAATAGAAAAGCAAATAGCAAATACTGCACTGTTCTATCATATCTGAAAGACTTGCAAAATATCAATGGTAGTACCTACATATAAAGACAGTTTGAAAAGCATTCACTGGGTTATTTTATCCAGATGGGATTTTTTAATATCCTTTACATTTGTAGATACAGTGACTCAGAAAAAATGTTTGAGTAGGCTGATTTTTGGAAATCAACTTCTTTCAGTTACCATTTTCAAATGGGTGCAGAATAACAGAAACGCAAACAATCAACCCGGTGATGTATCACTAACGTTAAACTTACCCTGCAGGTTATCTATAGAAAATGTTATTTTTCCAGGTTGTACAACATCAGTTTAAAATGTAACTGACAGATTTCAGAAACATGTTTGGTTTACTTGTGAAATATTAGCCAATCAAATCCTTTAACCCACAATTTAACTATAAATTAAAAGTTTAAAATGACATTGTACAACTGGGCCTAAATAACGCAAAATAACGTTTTTAACCTGCACATTAAGTTTGACGTGTCGGATGCATCACAGGGTTGAATGGTAAATTAAAAAAAAAAACAACCAATTGAATATACATAAAATTTGCATTTATGCACTCTGCTTGAGACTAGTTTAATTTCTGTTAACTTACCTGCTGCTGCAACTGTTTAAATTCCTTTGGGTTTGTATTCTTCGGCACAAACTGAAGAGCAGACTCTATCTTGACTGGTGTACTGGAGTGTGTAGGCGAACTTTCCGCTACCCACTGCAAGACAAAACCAGCACATTAGTGACTTGCATTTAAAAGAAAACTTAACCTTATGTGCCTTGCCCTTTGTGCACTGTTGATCATCTCTAATGTACTGGTTTTGTAACAATTCGAGGGAGACGACAAATTCAGTATGCAATGGGCTCGAGCACAAAGGCGTGTTAAAATCAATTCACACACGATTAGTTACAACACTGATGTAGCAATTTTAAAAAAATTAGAAACAAATGTGTTTCGTTTGGAATGTTTATTTATTTTTAAAAAAGCCTTCACGTTAACATAGCAAATAGGTTACACTATATTAATATGAGCGTGCTAAACAATGTTAAAGACATGACACATTCAGACTAGATCGATTATACGCAAGTAAACAATGGATGAAGTTAGAGGTAAAAAGTTTTTCGAACGATAATTAATTAATAGCTGCCTGTCCTGTTGTTAACATTTTTGTTAAAAATTAGATCTGTATATATGTTTTACATAGCTTATATGGCCATAAATTTACAACACTGTATAATGCATCAATGTGTCCTGGTGTAAACTGCAGAAATGCTAAACACTCAGTAATTTAAAACGGACTTCTACAGGTTATAAAAAAAATCAAAATTTTGTAACAATGAGATTCAAATGTCGCAAGTGACATCTATCACTTTTGAATCCCATGCAGTAAGTATAGAAACTCTACAAGTTTTTTACACGCACACGTAACACTTAGCCATTAGACAGTGTGTGTCTTTCACTAACAAACATGTAAACTATAAATCACGTTAATGTCATGCAATCGGTCCAAATAGGCCTAGTTTACTCTAGCCACATTAAGGTATGTCTAATCATACTTCTAAACCTATTAATATCCTACTTAGAAGCATCGTATTGCTCTGGTAGTAACGTAAACATTATTAGGGAAGCTCTACTGGCATAAAATTATTACATATTATGTGTATCATTTGTGCATATGAAAAAGCAAGATATGTAATTTATATGTTTAGAGCATATAGAAAATAATAAAATTTCTTCTCCTCCCTATCAGTATTTGTGCATTTTCGATAAAAAATGATCTTAAAGTTCATGTTAATTATTGTATTATTTAGCTAATTATTATATTACTAGTATGATTATAGGTACCGCACAATCATCTTTGAGACTGTAATCATTATTAATCACCTCAATCCCGAAATGAAATTACAATGTGACCATCCCTAGTGTTTGTTTTTCTTTCATTTTATTTATCTTTCCGTTCTGAATATTGCTATATTGCACTATAAAAACATAAACAAAAAGAGCCAAATTTTTGATTCTCAAAAACTTTTGGCTGTACCTATAGATGACGTGATGAATTTTTTTAATCTGAAAATTTAAATTGAAACCAAGTAATCCAAGTACGTAATCACATTATGCACATTATAATTATAATCTAACGGAAACTAACAAGCCTTTAGCTAAAAATATAAACTCTCTTTCTCTCTACTGTCAATGAAAATTTACGAACTTTCATTGACGGATCCTACTCCTTATCCTCAAATTTGATATATTCTACCTTTGTAATCTTTTTGGGATCTGGTGTACCGGTCTCTAGGATCTCCACTTTCTGGTAGACATTGGGAGAATTCAGCCATCGCGACCGATCAAATCCTTTGCGACCATCCAATTTTTTCCACAATCTGAAATTACAGAAAAGAAATTATAAATCTTACGTCGGATTTAATTTCAATTTACTTATATTTATTCTGAACGAACTCCTGAATCAACTTCCTAATAGTGTAAAAGGGTGTGGGAAGGTTCAGAGAGAGAGGATTTGAGGAACAAAGATATCAACCGAACAATAGTAGAATATTTTTCTTGTTTTGTGCTTCCTACAAATAGTAATTGAAGGATTGAGGCATTTTTATTTTTTTCTGCCTTTGTTTTCAAGGGAGTTTTAACATTTCTAATACTATGACTAATTTACGTTTAAACCAAGGTAACTTTGATAATAGTAACAAAAACATGCACTAAAATATATGGTTTTGAAGCAAAACATCTGATCTGCAGAGTGGAACAGAAAAAATACGACGGATATCCAAATGCAAAATCAGGGCTGCGTAGCAATCCAGATGTATTTCCCTCTCACACAGTCTTCACTGTTTAATAATTTTTGCCAAAATCAAGTTGTACAGGATGAGTCCGAAATTTAGTTTACACTATAGCTCCCTTGAAAAGTGTGCGCGAAATATGATATATTTTTCGTTCATACAGTCTCATTATAGGTAGGTATTTAATCTTCCTCTATTAGGTATTCAATGTAGTACTTAGCCTTTTAATATTTCCCAACATATTTGAGATCCTTGACGCTACCTGAGCAAGTGAAAAGCGAGACCAAAGAAAAACATAGAGAATAGAGATTATCACAGAAAATCAAAAATTTCATCAATTATACAATAAAGGGCATTCAGGTATTCTTTCGCAACGGATATTTTAACATTTTACTCATGCGCACCCTGAATAAAGTTGGGAAAAATATCTGATTTTGATCTGTACAACGTGTACTCTGCAAAAAATTACAATTGGGCGTTTTTTGCGAATTTTTAAAAAGTAATTTTTGATTCGTTATTTTAATAACAATATTGAGAATTTAAGGGCGTGCTTACGATAAGCGCAAAAGTTTAATTTTGGACCATAATTAATAAAATATCATCTGCAAGTTTAGATTGGGGTTCTTTCATTCAATCAGATTTTCCACTGCACAAAAAACAAAATGGTTGCTTACAATTCAAAATCTGTACCATTTCAAGCCTATTTCCTCACCACAATAATGTCACTACCGAGGTCACTGCATCGTGATAAAAAAGGCGCTTTCAATTCGAAGTTGATTTACTTCCAAAGTGCTCTGCACCTGCTCTACTCTGTGACTACACCCTTTTTAAGCCGGATTTATAGTTCCGTAGCCGTAAGAACGTAAAAACGAAACCGTAAAATCTTACGTTAACCAAAATTATACGATTTATAGTTACCGTAGTGGTAAGAGATGAGCTTGCGCCACGAACTTATGTCATCTGTCAGTAAGAGTAACGTGCATTTCAAAATAATAATAACCAACAAAGTGTCAATAATTATTGTAAATAAATGAAACGAACGTCAGGATAAACTCAACTGTTTGAATTATCCGAGTACTGCCGACGACAAACGCGTTAGCACGAATTACCGTAAGAAATAAGATTTGGGCATTTCCTACGTACCGTAACCGTTCTAACGCAACGTTAACGCGAACTATAAATGTTCACACGCAACAAGTAGGGTTTAATTCCAAACGTTACGGTACGGCGTTGCGGGTACGGAACTATAAATTCAGCTTTAGAGAATGCAATAATGCCAGTTGACAGTTGAATTCAACACGAAAGTCCTAACCTCACAAATATAGAAAGCACTAAAACTGTCCCACCAATTGCCACCACTGGAAAGCGCTTAAAATGAGAAACTGGAAAAATACCAGACAAAAGATTAGTACCCTTCCAGAACTGGAACAAAATATCCAACCAAATACAAGGACTGCACACGAAGAGGAATAACATAAAGGGAGGAGCAAAAGGAGACATACTAACAAGGGTTAAAAAAGATGAGGGAATGGGGGGAGGGAGGAAATGAAAGAGGTGGAAAGCAAGTGGAAAAGGAGGGGAAGAGAATGAGAGTGATAACTATATGCAACAGAGATGAAATGAAAGTTAAAAAATAAAATAGAATATGGTAGATGAATTAAAGGGGCTTAATTGGGGGGGGGGGGGGGGGGTTGTATGCCAAAACACGGAATACAGGAAAATGGGTAGATGTGTGCAATAAAGAGGGAGACTAGAGGAACAATAAGAAGAAAAAATACGAGAGAGCACAGAGGAAAGTATTAAAAAGGCAATAACATGAAAACATGAGTGAAAACAGGTAAATGGAGAGGAAGCAAATAGAATTCAGAAGACAGTGAGAAACGATACATTGTAAGTATATATGTAATACACAGACTAGTTGAAAAAGAATTGGAAAAAAGGTGCTTGTCGTTGCGCATCGAAAGTATGACATCCTTCTCATCTTCATAGCAGTGCTGTCACAAATACCCCCAAAGTACTTCCCAAAATCAAGATATATTTCAGTACTTTTTCAGTTATTAAAAGTACTTCAAGTTTCAAGTACTTGGTGACAATAATAATCGAAAAAAACTTCAAATATGTACTTCTTAGTACTTTAAATATACAGGCTGCTTTATAATAAAAGAACAATTAATCAAAATCTACATGAAATAAGTCAAAAACTCTACAAACTCTACAAGTCAGGTACGCCATGAAAACAAAAACGTGTCAGTTTATTTATTGTAATCCATTTTAACATTTAATAAACATTAAACAACCCACAACAGGTATAACTAAAGTGACATTTACTCTCCGATTTTGTTTACTTTTCGGGGCATATCTGACCTGTACAATTTAAAGTGAATACTATTACAATACTTAAAATACTCCAAGAAGTACTTGAAGTATTTACTAATTCATAATTGCAATATATATTTAAGTACTTTACTAATTATCAAATACCATATTATATGTATGGCACCTGAATTTTCAAGTATATCTACTTAAAAAGATTCGATGTGAACAAGAGTATTTCAAATACCGCACCATAATTGAAGTACTTTTTTGAGTATTTTATATATGAGGGACTGACAGCTATGAGTTCCAACACTTGTACTTCCAGTTTTTTTGTCGTATACTGATGTCCGGTATTATTTGTGACGTGATAGGTGTATAAAATTCTGAGCATGCGGGGATAGCATCACATTTTGGGGGATGTTAATAAGAATAAAATAAAACGTCTTTATTTGATGAGGTTCAGTGTAGGCTCTTCTTCCTCCTAACCATTGTTGTCAATTTTCCGTTGCCCCCGTCAACTCCACCCCATCTAAAAGAGTGGAATTTAATTGTAGATTAATGTTTGGTTTTGACAATTGACATGTTGTATTAAAGTTACGTTATACGTCAAACCAAACATCAAAACAATGGGCGCGTTCACCAGACGAAGCATTTCATGAGCGCTACCTAAAGGCGGGAATACTCTATTATCTGTTCACCCAACAGATGCAGTTAAGCTCCTCCCAAAAAATTCCCGGCAAATTTATATGAACATTTTTAATTCTCGAATTCTCGAATTTTTAATTTTCGAAACCTATAACACACACACCCATTTGTTTCCAACTAACGTCAAATCTGTCATTGCGTTTTGTATTTACCTTTCTTCAATTTGCTGTTAATTTCATTTATACGAATAAGTCTTTTTGAAGATTTGCACTAGAACTCTTTTGTGGGACTGGATATGACCATGAATGTAACCCAAGCTGCTTTTTCTCCAGCTAAAAAATGACCTGCCAACATTTTGATCAAGAAAATTTGTTTGATTTTACAACATTGAACAGGTCAAGAAAAAAGCGAGGGAGGAGCTGTCAGCCATTTCTATAGAAGATTTAAAAAATGTTTTGAACAGCACAGATGGGATGTATTAGTTGTCAAGACTACTTTGAAGGCAATAAGGTTGGATTGTAAAAAAAATGAAAATAAATAACCCCTTCGTAGGTTAAGTGGGCAAAGTTTCACAGTTTTTGTTGATTGTTTCATGTTTGCGCCGATTGAAAAAATAAGTATATCATTATAAACGTTATGACAAAAAGTTTAAAATATAGAAGTTTCTTATTTCAATAAAACAAGCTAAAAAATAAAAAAATTCAAAATAGTGATTAGTGACACATGAGGCGCTTTCTTTCGGTGATCCAAACGCGTTTGGATTGTCAAATCACGTTCTTTCAAAGTGTGATCTTATGTTCATGATTGCTAAAATCGTGAACTAACTGAACATAAAAGTTTTATGATCACGAATTCCTAACCTATAAATGCAAGGATATTTTTGCTCAAATGTTAGGTTAGTCAATATTTATACTTAACTGAAAAGGAGCATAATCGTGCAAGTACTTCCACTTGCATTTAAATTATTTTCATAATCCAAACAAAAAATACATAATTCGAATGCCAATGTGTACTACGTAAACTTAACCATACTTTGATTTAAATTTGCGCGTTCTATCGTAAATCGTGATCCTACGAATCACGATTTTGAAATCATGATCGCAAAGTAGCCGAAAGAAAGCGCCTATGGATACTAATGCCTGATATTCTTTGTTCAACCGTAGGTTACATAGTTTTCATTGTTGAAAAATAAGCAATAAAAAAACTCTTTTCAAACAATATGATGCCCATTTAACAAAAGAACTACTCATATGTCAGTAACCGCCATCTTGTATATCTTTTTGACATTTTTTTTTATGTTTGTATGCATAGTTAATTGGTTAGTAAGACTTTCAAAGTAACTTTTTGTTCCAAACGATCTTGGACACCCTGTATATGGGCGCACGTGAATGAAAAAGCTACAATCTTTTTATTAGAAACAAACAGCAATCTGCAACCACAAAAAAGATGACGGCTTGACCAATATACGCCAAAGCAAACATAATGGTGACTCTTACCCCTGTTTATAAAGCTCCTCCTCTTCGAGAAGATATCCCAGTGAAGAAACTGCTGGTGGAAGTTCAACGTCGTTCTTCGGGCGGGGTAATTCCCCTTTCACTAGTGGATGCCTATAGATGTAACCAGTACGGAAACCTGCATTATCCAACATTCGCATGAGCGCCTCGAACTCTACGCCGCCAATGCGCCATTTTCGTTCAACTTTTTCTTCCAGAATCGACGGTTGGTCTAATCTGGGTGTACTCTGTGGAGGTTTTCTAGCTGCATCGTACAATTTTTTCCTAGCCTCGTCTGGCAGTAATGACAAATTATCTACACCGATACTAATCAATTTGAGCTGCGTTTCACATGCCAGGACGGTATTACGAACATTAAAAAATGCTTCTTCTATTGTCTCGCCACAACATACGGCACCTTGATTTGTCAATAATAGCACCTTATTAATCGGTCCCAAATTTCTGGCAACTTTCTCTTTTTCTTCGGGCTCGTTTAATCCCCCAATGTATTGATGTGAACTTACTTCGCCAATTACTACAGATTCCTGACTAATGGGCAATAAACCACATTTTAGTGCCGATACTGCTACAACTGAGGGTGTGTGAATGTGAATGATGCATTTGATATCTGGTCGGGCAGCGTGAATGGCACCGTGTAATGAAAACCCGGACAGATTAACTCCAAAATTGGTCGTTCCTTGTTCTACAATTGTTCCTTGCATATCAACTTTAACCAAGCTGGATGCTGTTACTTCGTGAAATAAAACGCCGAAAGGATTAACTAAGAAGTGCTCTTCGTCTTGATTTAATCTGGCAGTAATTTGAGAATTGACACCTTGCGCCCAACCGTACAAATCGATTAATCGAAAAACAGCCGCTAATTTACACCTTAAGATTTTTTCACCTTTCGCATAACCCATCGCTTCGACGCCTCTTATATCATTAATAGGTATCACGCAATTCGAATTTTTAAACACACTTCCGGCATTTTTCGAAACGCCCATCATATCTGATATCTGTTGCATCAAATTGGTAGTTCCGATGCCTTCCTTAAGCTGTGTTTCGATAATTCGTTCCAATTCCTCGCGAAACAATCTACTATTCATTATCGCCTCGACTCGTTTCCTACGTTCCATTTCTCGTACATCTGCATCTATATCGGCCGGTCTTAACTTATTTCGTTCGTCTTCTTCTAATCCATCTATACCATTTGATTGAGGTATTTCGCCGTGATCCACGTCTGCCATTGTGAATTGATCTGAAACAAAACGTTTCATTAGTAAGTCTTCAAGATTTCAAACCAATTATACTTGCTATTATCATATCACAAATAATGTATCTTGGTGCACATGGTGCATTGATCTTTAATTTACGCAGGGCTATAGGTTGACATTTTGCAACAGAAACCAAAGGTAACTAGAACACTTTCTAGTAACAAAATATATAAATCCGTAATGAAAATTGCTAATGATTTCAAATGAGTTTATTTTTAAATTATATGGACATTTTGAAATGACCTCGTAATAAAATCGTAATTGCAGACACTCAATTTTAATATGCCAGACAGGCATTTGTATAAAAAAAAAAGCAGATTAGTGGTAGATGTGAGGTCATTAAAAAAATTACTTATTCTCGAATTACAGAAGTAAATTATTATGTCCTTGTTTAACTTAGATGAAATGAGTGATGTGAAAATCTACCCTTTCCAGTTTAACAGGAAACGAACCCATTTTGTTCAAACTTCCCTTGGGTCACCGTCATCATCACTAAACGAGTCACTAAATAAGAAAGCGAGTAAGAAAGTATTAACTTATAAAAAGCATTATCGAAATTACTGCATTCAATATAGACCATATCTGTACTAACAGACTGGCTTTCCTTTAATTACCATCTTTGTCTTCAAGTTTGTAGCAGAGGTGTTGAACATTTCGTCCCACTACTTGACGTATGGCAAACAGTTGTATTTTTAAATATTTTTCCCGGCACTTTGAAATTTAACTCTGAAGCAACCTATATACAGGGTGTCCCGCGAGAAATGGGACAAAATTTTCCTATGTGTACCTTGGGTGAATTCGAGTCCGCACATTTTTCGTTTGCTAGATATGATTTTTTTCATTTGATAATATTAATGGGACGTAATCGTAAACCACCATAATGTCGGAAAATGATTTTATTTAACGAAAAATTAATACTAGTTATGAAAATAAATGTTTGCCCAGCATCAAATCTACACATTTACACGTAGTAAAACTTTGGTCCTTTCTTCGCGAGACACCCTGAATAGTATAGACATTTGGTGGATTGTATAGACCAAAGTAAAACAGTTTCCCTCTCTCTCTCTAATGAAAGAAAAGACAAAAACATAATCTCAATAATACAATCACAATCTGTGATATCATTGAATAATAAATCTGAATTATTATTCAATGGTGATATTAAGAGTCTTCTTTACCTAAGCGCAACTTTTTTACATTATAGTGAATAGATGATTTGATTATAGTTGCAAGAAACAAGATGATACTCTTGTTTAGTCAACTCCTATTTCGGTCCTTAGTTAGTTCCCGTCGACACTGTGCAGCGGCGCTTACCCTCAAATTATTGATTTACCGCCCGCCAAGATACAGACTTTATTTACAAAAAAAATGTGATTTAATATTTTGGGGTAATGTTTAGAAGTAACTTATCTAGAAAACTGTCGGTTTACTTTTTCCATAAACCGTTTTGTTCCAGAGTAAAAAAATAAAACAGATTAGCGCAATAATCGATGCAAAACATCTAATCTTTAAACAATTGGTATTCAGTTGCTATAAACTTTTTTAAAAAAAATAGCCCGAACATTTTGTAGATAAAGGTCTGAATTTATAAAATAGTTCTTTAAAAAAATTTTTTTTAAAAACAACTTTAGTTTTTATGGCGGGCGCTCTTATGGAAATTTACTTTGGGTGCAGTGGGTACAGAAGACTCTTAAGCTCAAATTATGATCTGTTAAAATGAACCTACCTTTTGCATCCTAACAGAAACAACTTGTAAATCAACATATGCATGATGAAAGCGCATTTTTTGTAATACAAATCAGTAGGTATTTGATTAGCTAAGTTTAAATTCTTCGATCTTATGACTTTATGAGTAATCTAACTCAAAATGGACCAGAGCCTGCACATCTACACTACAGTCAAAAGCTTTTAGTGAAAATGCTGAGATATTAGCCAGAGAGCCAGCCAGCCAGAGCCATAACGAATTATTATTATATTCGTTATGGCTGGCTGGTATTTTTTTTTCAAAAATGCGCTAAAAAATTACCTAGAGCAAAAAATTCATCACAATACATTGTTTATTTCAAATATTCAGAGCGGGAACAAGAGTTTACACACATACCACTAGCTAACAATATTTCACAACATGGTACGTGAATCTCAGGGTACACTAAAGTTGTGTAAACATCACTCGCATCACGTAAAGAGCAGCGTTTATAGCAACCGTGTACTACTGGAAGCTTTAAGTACTCTTCATTATCTTCTATACGTGCACAAATAAGAACCGGTCGAGGAACCGGTTTGCTTTTTTGTGGCATATTTAAGCAATTAATTGAATGACTGTTCTTAATTTACATCTCAAATCGTGTCTCATCGGGCAGACTCGTTTCACCGGGCCATTCACAGCACCAACGAAATCCGTTCTCATACATTTTTAAAGCACATGATAAGTATTACTATACAACGCGGGAATACCCACCAGCGATATGGGTACTTTTCTACCAGGATTATATTTTATACATTTTAAATTTCCTTTATATTTTACGATACAATGTTTGCTTTAAAACGAAATGTTAATTTGGAATAAAAAATATAAAAAAGCATAATTATACAGTGAGTTTTTTTTAAAGACTGGCCATAGGGTTTTACATGTTAATTTTTCAACTCTCTGTTACCTTTTTTGTGAAAATTACGAAGCCTAGCGCTGTTATTTAATTCAATATTAACGTTTTCTAATTATTTACTTCATTTTGTGGAGTAATACTCCATGTAAAGCGAAATTTTGGAATGAAAATAACCTTAATGTTAGATCAAAATTACAAATGACAGTAAAATTGAACCAAACGAAATTAGAAAACATCTGTTTTGCTAATTTTTTCCATATTTGTGGATATTAAATTGGAATTATTTCAATACTTTATGAGCTTCTGTAGCTTTATTACAAAACTGGGTTGAATATTTTCCTGAAGACAATACTTAACAGGGAGCTGAAAAATTAGCATGTAAAATCCTATGGTCCCTCTTTAAAAAAACTCACTGTATGTATGCAACTTTAAGAAATAAAATATTTTTTTATATTTGCACTTCACTCTTACTTGTGGACAATCGCGAGGTTAAATAAAAAATGTTCCTCGTATATATTTCATGGAATTTAAATAGAATGGCCAATCCCCTTTATTGACATGTTTGATACAGATTAATACCTCGATTAATACATTACTAACATTTCAATTGGATAGCGCTTTTCAGTGAAAAGCAGGCGAACAGATATGTTTTGCTTACCAAAATTTCAAATCATTATTTATATATTTATTATTATTTATAAATATTTATTATTAATTATTTATTAATTAATATGTATAAATATTTAATTTTAGCACTTCTCAGTAAAAAGTTTATTGAGGAATGGAGAAACGAAGGATTCGTAATAGCTTCTATTACCTACTGTTTGGGAAATTGTGCTAGAAAGAAATCACACATGCGCAGAATCGCCTAAAATTTCCCTCTGTTATGGTGTTGCAGGGTGTAAGGTGTTCCATGATTACAATACGTTCATACTTAATACAATTATCACAACCTTTGTAATTTCTTAATCGCAAATGTTATCACGTTTATCAAATTACAAACTATTCTGATTATTTTGTTAACAAACGTTGAGATTGTAAAAAATTTCAAATATCTATAATAACTTTATTTTCAATTTACATCTTTAATGTAAGTCAAAGTAGAGTCATAACTTCATAAGGGATACTGATATTTCATGATCGTCGTCGGGGGCGACGCTGTCTATCGTATATCATGTAGAGGCTAAAGTTTGGTCGTTTAAGGAAGTGACAATACCTAACGTGAAACCCGAGGTGAAACCCTCACTTTTAGCATTGTGAACCAGAGAAATCCAAAATCTAGAACTAAACTAAATTGTAGTCGCTCGTCCAACTCATAAAATCAAATTGGACACGTCGATCAGTGCGTTTTTCCGAATCGCACCAAGGTTGCAACATTACACAAAATCTCCGTAAATTTCCCATCATTTTGTTAAGGTAGAAGACATGGTGTGATGCAAATCAATCTAAAATGCTATTGGCACAAAAACTAAATCTGACGTAGAGAAAGCAACATACTTCTTGCCCAGAACACCCACTGCAGAAAGGACAATAATCACATAAGACATATTTTATTAAACACAAATACATTTTACTGTCATTTGTACGTGTATGCGTTGCATACTAACACAGTCTCATTAGACAAGCTAGTTATTAACATTTACAGACATCACGTCTATAAAAAGAACACATAGTAGTTTACACGCAAACATTGTTTAATCACTTATACAATCTTTAGACTAACACTAAATGAACATTTACATTGCGTAGCTATACATATTAGCATTAAAGATGCGAGCTCGTGCCAGCAAGGAATGCACTAATAAAAATATTTCATTATACCAATTACCATTCCAGATCCGCTGCAAGAAGTTAATTATGTTAATTGCAACTGCAAATTAATTATCAATTTGAATTCATTATTAACAGGTTTTTTACATAGTTTACGTAGTCGTCAGATGATTATGTTTGAAATTATGAATTTTAAAAATAAAACAAATTGGCGTGCTTTATCACATGATTAACAGAAAATCATATGACGAAAGAGTAATAACCATAAAAGAGAAAAAGAATTTTGCACACATTACTTACAGGCGCGCAAAAATTATCATGAAATTTAATATGATATGCGTTGCGGTGAATAGTGAAATAGCATAGTTTATGCTCCGTCATGTAGATAATTTCATTTCAATAACAACGTTTTATCACTATCACATCGTATAAAAAGTAAAGTTAGAAAGGAAAGGAAGCAAGAATTTCATTGTGATGGGAGAAGTAACTCCATTTTATACTGAACGCTTCAATTCCGCTTAAATAAATGAAAAGGACCTTATTAAAAAAACTTCGCCATGTAAAATGCTTGGTCTCGAGCAAGACAGACAGACAATCCAGATACGAATAAT